ATTGAAGTAGACAACGTAAAATACTGAATACGTTACCCTGGCATTTGATCGCCATGATTTTGTTTTGTACGAATTGTTAATGTAGACTACCTAACAGTTGAATACGTTAGCTTAGTGTTTGATCGCTATTGGTTTGCTTTGTACGCATTGTTGAAGTAAACTACGTAACAAGTGAATACGCTATATTAGTGTTTCATCGCCATTGTTTTGTTTTGTACACATTGTTGAAGTAACAATTGAATACGATATTCTATAGAGTTTGATCGTCATAGTTGTTTTGCATGCATTGTTAAAGTAGACTACGTAACTGTTGAATACGCTAGCCTAGAGCTTGATCGCCTTGGTTTTGTTTTGTACGAATTGTTAAAGGAAACTACCTAACAATTGAATACGTTAGTTTAGTGTTTGATCGCTATTGCACTTTTTTGTACGCATTATTGAAGTAGACTACGTAACAATTGAATACGTTATATTAGTGTTTCATCGCTATTGTTTTGTTTTGTACGCATTATTGAAGTATACTATGTAACAATTGAATACGTTATGTTAGTGTTTCATCGCTGTTTGTTTTGTAAACATAGCTGAAGTAGACTACCTAACAATTGAATACGTTATCGTGGTGTTTGATCGCCAGTACGTAACAATTGAATACGCTATCCTAGGGTTTGATCGCTATGGTCTTGTTTAGCAAACATTATTAATGTAGACTACGTAACTATTGAATACGCTATGGTTTTGTTTTGTACGCATTGTTGAAGTAGACTACGCAAAAATTGAATACGCTATCGTAGGGTTTGATCACTATGGTATTGTTTTGTACCCGTTCTTGAAATCTTAGTGTTTGATCGCCACTATTATGTAACAATTCAATTAGCTATCCTGCGGTTGAACACATTATACTACTGTTTAGTCGCTATTATTGTGTTTCGTACGCATTCTTGAAGTAAATTACATAAGAATCGAATACGTTATCCTAGTGTTTGATCGCCATTGTGTTGTTTTGTACGCATTGTTGTAAGAAATGATGTAACAATTGAAAACGCTATTCTAATATTTGACTGCCATTGTTTTGAAGTTTGGTACGCGATGTATTAAGTTTGATAAAAATTATTAGGAATCTTGTAGGCACCATTAAGCCGTGTTTCAAAGTAAATATTGCTAATGTAGCGATCAAGCTCACGAAATGGGTAATTAATAATTGGTGTGAAAGTGTTTGGTTAAAAATTCTGCGAACCGTAACTTTCGATGTATTATAGGAAATCACGACTTTATTGAGAAATTATTAATCCGTTTACAATTTGGCAACTACATCTACTGTGTTATTAGACGTTTTTCAATTAGAAATTAACTATTTGTCCTCAATCTTACGTTATACCAGTGGAAAACTGGCATCCACGAAGCGATGCATTCTCGATAGATTTTTCAATTAGATACGTTTAAAAGTAATAATTTCCTTAGAGAGTTAGTTAGTTAGTTAGTTAGATAATGAACAAAACGTACGTTTTAATGTTGAATAAATTAGAAATTTAATAAGTATTCTTGTATGTATGTAAATACGTGCGGCCTTTCATAATCAAAACAAGTAAAATTCAAGAAATGATACACTAAATATGTAACTTTAATTTCAAAAATAACCGATAATACCGGTCGTAAATTAAAAAAAGAGTCCTATAAAAAACAAGATTTATGCTTTGTGCGACATAAAAAAACGCCGTTTACCATAAGTGCTTAATTATTACACTCTTAGACATCATCAGTTTATGGTCTTGTTATATGTTTTAAGGAGAGGACTTCTATTTCTCTATACACCTATTTACAACTGCCTGGTAATTATCGAGACGATTATTATGGAAATAACAGACTCTCTAACGTTCATAGAAAACAATAAAAACCCTTTAATAGACGTTTAAATAATGGGAAAAGCGACCAGCGGCAACTGGAATTTCTCCAACTAGCATATTACACGAATACAATGTCTTTTTAACACCTAACGTAAAAAACTTGGGAGTCAAAAACAAACCTTTTATTAACACCACCCTCAGCTGTTTTCTTTATACTAAATTATATACATAGTCGATTGACGATAACTCGCCAAATCGTCCCCCAAACAAAAAACAACGCAAAGTTTTCTTATAATTCATAATTAACTTAAACAAATGATACTGAAACACTTGAAACACGAGAAGTTCTATAATAATCAACAAATGAATATCGAATTTCATTCATTATACGAAATTTTTGTTTTCTGATTGTCGTATGTTTAGTACGTCACTACTAAATGGTACAATAAGCGATTCAATTTGAATTTAATTTGCAATAAAACTGTTTTAAAAACAAAGAAGAACCAATAATTGGTAGGAATTGACGACTCCCCAAAAAAAAAATGTTTAGAAAATCCGTTCTCCGTCAATCGTACTTAATTATTCTGACTCGCAATATGTTATGTTGTCCAGAATTTTCATAAAGCCCGGGGACCCCTTAGACACGCACCCCCCTGTCTGTCATTCCCTGGCTATGATTCATTTTATTAAATCCCGAGAAAAGACTAACGGCCTTAACGACATGTTCATAGAGAAAAAAGGGCGCATCAACAACACATACGTCTACGCGAAGTATTTCTATATACACTTTAGCGATTTAATATGTACTACTAGCAATTTATATGCACCCCCTAATCTTGTTTTAATCTCTTCTAATCAACGCAATCGTTCTATGTGAGACAAAGGCGGAAGGGAACGAGGGAGAGCGATGATAAAATAAGGGGGACGAAAATGACGATGACGACGTACGATAAAAGTAGTGATAACGTTTAAAATGAGATTTTGCTAATTTGGCAACCGTTATGCCGAAAACGTCAGCAAATATGAGGCGGTGATGGGATTTAATGTAAAAAAAGTTAGTTTTGCACAAAAAAGAGGAATAACTAATTGTGCAAGACACATCCATAAAAAATCTGATTTGTTTGAACTGTTAAATAATAGCAATGAACAAAAGACAGTAAATATTAAAAATTTAATCAAAAACGACAAAGTTTAACCATTAATAAAATAGTCAAAAACCAGGCATCCCCAGCAATGCCAAAAATAACAATTTTTTATCAGATTTTTAATATCTAGTATCAATTTTGTTAATAATTAATATTAACATCTTCCCCAATTTAAATTTTGCAGATAGGTATGTCTCGTCTAATTAGTTATTTACTATTTTTACGCAAAACTAATATTTTTCTAATTGTAACTTTCAAAACTCCTTAAAGGACTCTTCTATACGTACTGTCTTAATTACCAACGAATAATTAATATACTACAGCTAATACTCTTAAAAAACAATTTAAATTTAAATTGCTTTTAGCCCAGTAACATAAAAACGCTTTAAGAAAAGTTTGAATTCAATTTCGTATTTTTATATGAAATAGACTCCTGAGCGCCACCTTACGATTATACTTTGGTAAACAGTTTACAAAGGATTCCGTTAGCGCCATCTAATACTAACAATTTGTAATTAAAATATAATTGGAAATAATTAGCGCAAGAATACTTCTTGATATATTTATAGGTTCCTAGAAGTTTAGTCATCTCGAATAGAATTAAATTCACAATTTTCATAGCCGTATAATACTTGTACGGCCATCTGCTCAATTTTTTATTAAGCATTAATGGAATGTCGCGCTTGAACTTTATCAATCTTTTGTATGAGTCAGCAAGGCGACGTGCCTTTTTTTTTTGTTTTAAAGTTATAAATAACACTGCAGAATATTCATATCTGACTTATCTTTATGGGTTACGTAATTTACGCATTCCTTTGCTTATTTAAGAAAGAAGAAGGTAGCGCCGCGAAATTTTATAGTTAGTTCTTTTTTAATCGACATTTTAATTAAGGTGTAATGTCATTAGGTAATTTATCGTTTAAGCAGTTTAGTAGTATTAAAACAAAACAACAGTTTTTTAATCAAATCAAAATATCGAAGCGCAAAACTTTTTTTCGATTTAATTTTACGATTATAGAGAACGATGACAAGTTGTCCTGTTTTGAAATTGAATAAAGGTTTCAATTTCTTCCTCATTAATTATATAATTAAATCGAAAGAGTTTTTTAAAAACCCTTTTTTGTTTTAATACATTTTTTACTGTTAAAATGATTAAACAATTAACAACTTATCTCATATTCGGAAAGAATATTTAATTGCTTTTATAGATAATATTACCAAGAAATGCATAGGTAATTATCAATAAAATCATAGGAGAGAGAAATATGCAATAATAAACATCGACGACATATAAACAACAAAAACGGTATTTATTAAACAAATAGTACAACAATAAATAATCAACCTGTAGAAGGTAATTAACCAGTTGTATAATTAATGTGTATGGCAATTAGGAACCAAAGGTTGAAGCGAATCATTTTATTTACTTATATTTTACATATTATTATGTAAAATCGCAAATATTAATGATCAACTATTTCTCTTGAAATATATACTATTTAATAAGACTAACCAAACTAAAAACTTAATCTGTCTAGTATATTAAACAGCAATATTTCTAAATATTGTTCAAAAAATCCCTNTTAAATGTACCTATCCATAAATAGATATTTAAAAATAAAAATTAATACTTTGTTTCACATATTACCTAGATTAATAAATTAATTATTTCAATTAATGTTGCACATTATCAAGCAACATTACGAAAGAATTAGCAAATTATTATCTGTGCAGAAGTTCAAATACCAATAAAATTCCATAGGAATATTAATTAGACGAAATGCTTAATTAAGAACCAAATAATTAACTACGTTAAGGATCAGTACCGAGCAACATGGCGCTATCTTCTTCCTCTTAATTACTACGTAAGTTTGAACGCGAGATCTTTCAATACTTCATTATTTTATTATGAATTAATTAGTTAATTTTAATAAGAACAATTATGAATTGATTCTTTTATATATAAATCGAGTAACTTTTACCGAAAAGGACGATACGGCAACAAAACAATACGAAAATTTACACAATTTATTGACACAATAAAATTAATATCAATATCAAGTTTAACCAACTAATTTAGATCAATTTAACTAATACTTAATTGTCGATCTAAATTAATAAAACTTCAGTTTTATACATAATCATCAATCAATACGTATTATTATACATATACGAAATGATTAAACATCATTATTTGAAGCGCTCGCTTTATTTCGATGTTTTTTGCTTTCCTGATGAGATCGGAACTGTGCCGCTGAGTTAACCGTAACTTTGCAAACGCTACAGTAGAATGACCCGGAAGGGGTGCGACACTCCGCAAAATCTGGACTTCCTGTCAAATAACTTAAGTTACTTCAATCGACATTACAAGACGACATACAACTCTACTCATCAAGCGTTTACGTTCTACCGTTCGAACCCAAAAAGGTACCAATGCTTTTTTTTCTATAAGAGGTACACATGAGACTAGAATAGATTGAGGGGGGGGGGCGAATGGATCAGGTGCGCCATTAAATAAAATAAAGACAAGTGCATGTACTCCTTAATAATCGACTTAAATTTTATTGGGTTAAGGTTCTCTAGGGGATTGAACCCTTAAACGAATTGAATTCATACCAAAAAAAAAGGAAAAGCAGCGAAGGTTTCAGGCAAGCAAAAAAAGGCTGCTCGATTACTAACCTTTTTCCGAGCCCATGTTTTCGATTAGCTTTAACTTTTTTTTATGTTTGGCCCCTTGCAGGTGTTGTTCCAGTTGTTCCCTGCAAGTCACCCTGACAGAGCATAGCTCGCAAGCTAAATTAGTCCGTTTAGAGTCCCCGGGGACATTACCGTCAGCATTGGGGAACGCGGGATCTGCACAACCTTCCTTCAAAAAGGGCAACCTAATGTTAAAAAAAAAGTACAAATACAAAAACCACCGTCGCAGCTACCAATCCTAAAACATATAATTACGTGCTCTTATTGTCGAAAATTTCCGGATAATTAGCCACCACCACAGCGCCACTTGCATGTCTACTTTCGCTTACGATTCTGAAATTCGATAATCGAATAAAACATATTCGAATTATATTAAAATGCTTGGACAATACTTTTGATGTTGTCTCCCCATGTAATGAGACTCAGAGTGTAACTTCCCAGTTAAGGGTAGGTTGCATGCGCTGCAGAAGTAATAACTCGGATTCTCTATCTAAAACGGGACCATTTTTGGTACCAGTCGAATAATTGAAGACTTGAATGGATGAACGTATTATGTCCCATTTGAGTTGCGGCTTTTTGCATAAATAAGTATAAATTTTTGCGAATGTTTCGACTGGAAAGTAGATTTAATTTCGAATCATTAAATAAAAGATATAGACTGGACAAGGGTGATATGTTGCATTGCAGTTTGAGCAAGTAAAAATACTTTAATTGCCTATTTTCCACAACTTCAACTTCGTTACATAACACCTTCATCCACTCATATCATCAATTAATGATGAGAAAATACCTGGTCCTTTTTATTAGTCTTAGATTCGCTAGTGACTCGGGGGTGCAAGGGTTCACCGGTTCGTTCGGAGTACTGTATGAGCCAGTTTTTAATTTTTTTATTATGGTTTTTCGATACGTAGTGCAGCCGAGCCATTGTGTTACTTGACAGAGTCATTGAACATAGTTTACAGAATAGGGGTTGAAATTGCAACTTTAATTCGTTTGGTAACGAATGGTCCGTAATATCGGGACAAGAGAATTTAACTAAAAGGACGGTTTATTAACAGTAATCCTTCAAGAAGGCTCCCTTAATTGCTTTACAATAAAATACGGTCTGATTTAAACTAGACATTAAAAGGAAATAATCTAATAAACTTTATTAAAAAGTACACAATTAAGAAATAAATAAATAAATGTAAAAACCCATACAATCTTACTCACATTTGGGACTATAGTCAATTTTGAGACAGGAGTCCTCTTTTGACCTTTTAGGAGGAATAGGGGGAACATTAAGATCATTAGGTGAGGTAGTCAAAGATGTATCTATCTGAGACTCCTTAGAACCCAATTCAGATTCGTTTAAATCAGTCTTTGTTTCAGGAGTAGGAAAAGTACGTTTCCTATATGTTTGTTCTGGGAATACATTGTCTTCCTGAATGTACTCTTCTGTTCCAGGAGGTCGAATATCATTTTTATTAAAACTACTCCTGCTACCCCTTGTTCTATCGTACACATTACCTTGTGTAAACCTAGTACTATCATCATAATCGCTCATTACAGGTGCAGGGCGATAATCTAAATCTTTATTCAGAACAGAAGAATTGTCTGATACACGAAAACTTCGTTGCATTACTTCTTGGAACGATTTGTTATTATCATTACCCCCTTCAACTATTAAAATTATCAACTAAACGTTAAATAGTAATTTCAAGGAATTACTCACCACCTGGGATACTCATATTGTTTATTGTTATAGTCTGATAACAAAAATATCTAAAAAAATGCAGTTTTTCATAGAATTTTACAATTTTCAAAGTTTTTTAGGTTATGTATAAACCTCCTGTAAATATTTGCTACATTTCAGCTAATAAAAGTTCATCAGATATCACGATTACATAATAAACGATTGCAAAAGATGTTTTATACATTTACTAATCAAAAATGAGAGAATTACTTGTTGAACGTAGTTTTCTTCTGACTGAAAGTTTGTATAAAGATGAGTATTTTAAAAATACTTTTAATGAAAAATTGGCAAACATTTTCGCAAAGCAAAAGTCTTCAGGAGATAAAACAATATCTATTGAATTGTCTCCAACAAACAGCAGCTGCATTTTAGGTAAATTAAATGCAATAAACAAAAATTTTTGTTCAGTATCATGGCATATACAAATAGAAAGTTGTTTACAAAATATACAGCAATTACCTGCACTAAAATTGTCCAAATTACTTGTAAATGAAGGAAATATTATCCTTTTGCATATTACAAGTCGAAGTTTACACAAGAACCAGGCAATAACAGTTTTAAATGAAATTAAACAAATTGGTATCAGAAATCTACTTGTGTTGCAAGGAGGTAAGTTGACATCTATTTGACAATGACAACAAGATAATGTCTAAACTACCACCAACTTAGAGTAGTGTATATAGAATACCCAAACGTTACTATTATCTCTAAATTTGAAGTAAATCTATAAAACTGATTAAACATGTTATAAATCCTTTAGATATTCGTCAAGAACTTCACAAAGATTGCGATTTCAAATATGCTGTCGACCTAATAAGATTTATTAGGCAAAATTATGGTGACCATTTTTCTATTGGCGTAGCTGGGTACCCTTTGGGACATCCCAAATCAAAAACGATACAAGAAGACATGATCCACCTCAAAGATAAGGTAAGTCAAAAAGAATAAACACAATAAGTTATTTAAAAAAGTTTCTCTTAAATTTAAGATAGACGCCAAAGCAGACTTCATCATAACCCAGGCTATTTTTGACAATAAAACGTTTCAAACGTTCCAAAACAGATGTAGATCTTTTGGAATAGAGGTGCCTATTGTACCAGGAATTTTCGCGTTTACGTCACAAAAATCGTTACTAAAAATGTCCCAGTTTTGTGATATAATGGTACCTCAAGAAGTAAGCGCCATTGTGGAACAAAACAAGCACAACGCCATGTCCGTGTACAATTTCGGAATTCATTTCACAACGGAATTAATAAAGAACCTTTTAACGGCCAAAAAGGACCCAATCATTGACGTCCATCTTTTTACGTTGAATAATATTTACGCGGTTTACGAAATATGTGAAAGATTAGGTTTTTGTACATTAAATATTGAAAGACCACTAAAATATGTCGAATGAACAGGAAATATACCAGTAACACCATCTATGTAATTGGTTTTATTTACCTACATAAAAAAAAACATTTTTTTTTTAGTCTTTTCGAAAGTGGGATTATTAATTTTTACCACTGGTACACAACGCTATTCCTTTGGCCCAAAAGTCATTTGATAGAAGACCCAATCTTCCAAAAACGATGGTACGAACGCTTTTGTCTTATTAATTTTCACCGTTGGATTTAGTTCGGTGATAAGACTTTCGTATTTTTTTAAAGATTCTTCACAACAGGCCCCATTACCCTACAACAACAAAAATGGTAACAAAAAAGCCAAACCCAGAATAGTAACACAGTTACATGAGTCATAAATTTTCCACTGGGCTTTAGGACCTTAACAGTATAATCCAAAACTTTCAGAATAAAATTCCAGTGTTCCCCAATCTCATCATCCCTTATAGGGACGTCGGTTAAATCCCCGAAAACATAATCGAATTTGCGACCCTCTGCAGCAAATTGTTCCAAAGACTTCATGCAATCCCCAATGATTATCTTAAGTAAAATTTATATTAGTACCAAATAAGAACCAAAGTCGCATTAAATATTTTACTTGATAATTTGGGCCCTCCAACTTATCTAAAACGTCACCACAAATAGATCTTAAATGCTTAGCACAAGCCCTTATCACGACCTCATCTATTTCAAGCACTATTACATTTTTTGGTTTTTCTTTAAGCAGTTCGTATAATAAGGCTCCATCCCCACCACCTCAAACATTTTTAAATTAGAAAAAAGCACACATAACCAGAACCCTAATGGTTATTAATATGTTACCTAAAATAACAATTTCTTTGTCTTTGTATTTTTCAATGCCCTTTGCCATTATAGTATCAGTATAAATTGCATCTGCCTCTGAAATATCTGGAAAATTTTCGTCAAAATTTACAGAGCCATATTAGAACATGTATATACGCAAACACCCTGTATTTATTAATTAAAAGTGCAATAAGTACAGTGTGACTCAAAAAAAGCAATGGTATTTACTAGTATAGTTGTTAGTTAACTTAAACTATAACGTGAAGTACAAAACTTACTTTGCAAGTCGTCAAGGACTAGCATGTTCCCAAGGCTTTTGGAATGTGCAATTTGAACTTTCTGATAGGGGGATTTTTCATTAAAAACCACCTCATCGATATCATACTCCAAAATACGTTCGTCTAGAATAGTACGTGTACTTTTGTTAATAAAAAATATTAAGTGAAAACCATTTTATAAAATACCTACACACACAGAAGCAAAAACAGCCCGAAAACTACACAAAAAAGCAGTTCACTTTTATACAACAATTTTAAGTTTAAGATCCAAAGTAAAGTTTTGATCAAAATAATAAGAGTATATTATAAAGGAAGTAAAAAGCTAATTAAAATAAAACAGTGAAAATGAAATTGGTAGAGGAATAATGTGGACCTTACTACAATATCATATATTTTAAAGATAGTTTATGAGTGTTTCTTTTTAAAATTGTTTCGCAACATGCAGGGAACAAATTAAAACACTTTACCTGAGGTTGGATAATATCTATCAAAAGAGCCCCTCTTTATAGGTGGTATAGTTTGAAAGCGCAACAGGCCTAGCAATGATTCACTTAAATCTTTCTTCAGCTGATTGGTTCTCTATAAAAATAGGCATGCCTAGCCAACGCATAGCACTACTAAAGCGACTTTTTTAAATGAAAATTGTGCAAAAAATCTGAATGAAAAAACAATGTTCAGGAAACTATTACGACTATTAAAAATGTTAGCTAAAAGTTTCAGTAAACTAAAACAATGGCAAAGTTTTCAGAAGTTTTTTGGGGGAACCACCCACAATGCTTTCAAAGTTACTGTGAACAATATAATTTGGCCAATGTTAGTAAAAATCGTTCTGATTCCAATCAGTTTTTAACACAAGTCTGATAAAATATTGCTGTTTTATTTTTAGCACAGTTTTCTGAAGAGTTTCAAAATTTGTACAAATAATGGTTGATGTACTTTTAAGAGATGAGATATAGTTAAAATGCCTTTATAAACTTTATTAGGTACTATTTGTACATATTTTAAAAAACTGATAACATACAGAGTAACGTGAACGAACTGACTCATTACGTTACATGTAGCAATTAAAACATTTCAAAATAAGTCTTTTGTGGTTTTGTTTTTCAGAAAACAGAACACCCAAAGAAGGCAAACAAAACTGGGATTCAATTTTTGATTTTTCAAAATTCAATAGGATAAGTACAACAGTTTTAGATGTCAGTAACTACGAACTAAGTACAACAATAAAGAAGTAAAAAAGTGTGAATCAATTTTCGTTAATTCAAACCTGAACTAGTTAAATAGACATCTAATGGGGAACCCCTCTTAATTGGAGGTAGATGTTTTGATCTGTTACAATTAAGTAGTATAGAAATACTCTGTTCGATCTGTCTTAAAATCTAAAAAGAACCTTTTCTCTAGGACTTACTTATGTTGCATAATTTAATAAACATGGTGTACATACCTCGAAGGAGAACAGAGGCTCTTTATTATCAGGTTTGTAGTACTCAATATTGAGGGTAACCAGTCCATTTTTGAAAATTCTGATTGTGATCAAAACATTAGATTCACTTGTATACAACTTACAAATACTATCATCGAAAGGAACAGTCGAAACTTGCTTTAATTCACTTAAATAATCACGCAAAATATTTTCAATTGTAGTTGAAATAGATGATTTTTGAGATTCATTTTTTGTTTGGTTAGAATCAACAGTAAAATCTAATAAAACAGTATGAGCTGCCATTTTCGTACGAAATTTTAGATCAAAACAAATTAAACCAAACTGAACTTAATTATAAATATCACTATTCCAATTATTAGTAGTAAATTAAATTAATTAAGAGTAATAACACACCAAAACCACCCTACAGTTGACATTACCCATAGATTTCTAAAATGAGCTACAGTCAGCCATTACTCTACAGTCCATAGAACTTAAAGGGCGGGCTTATATGTTATTGAAAAATTATATTAAAAAGAGAAGGCGGACTTTTATGAAGACAATAAAATTAATTAAAAATTAATTAATCAGGATTTAACTAATAATTTCGTAATATACATGTTATTAATAATTCTATGTACCCTAAAAGACAATAAAAAAATTTTTTAATTAAATTTATGATATACAATTACCGAATAACTTAGTTTACATCTTCCGAGGCAGTTTTGATTTTTTAATTTTTTTTTTGAGTAATTGCTTGTTATTCAATGATAAAAATTATGATTGAGAACACGAAATGCGTTTAAGAACGAGTAAATTGCTAAATAAAAATTTTTGTTTGCTAAATAAATGTATATATAGGTAAAGCATTAGACACGAAAAATTTATAAATACACAGTTAAATAAGCATCTGTTTCAGTACAAATACACACGTACATGTACACAATTATGCAACCTTTTCGCGGTAATAAATGCTTCCGTTTCAAAGGTGTAATTGTGAAAATTGATGAATGTACAATATTCACTCCGCAAAAACTATCATCCGCAGTCGGTTTTATATTGTATTAGTTGCTTTAAAAACGTGCCTGAATTTCGTTACAATTTCGCACGTCTCGCTTAATTTTAACTAAAATACATTTCAATCGTACACCGTCCTGCGAACTAGATTAATTGCAGCAATACGAATAGTAAAAGTAATATAGCAAAGCGAGCACTGAGGCAAACCAGTAGTAAGTAATACCTATTAGTGGTTCTCATTAAACAGTGTGTTGTGTGCGGAACAGTTTTTGACCTCAGCGACCGAATATCTTTTGACTTTGGACCAAATAATAAAGAGAAGGTGCACGGTGTTGAGTGTGTCGCAGTTTACAATCGAAATTCTGTAAAACAGTTGCATTACTACATTGACGTAAATACAAGCCCAAAATCGGTGTTTTTTCCACATATTTAAACACCTTCATAGCTAGCTGGACTAGTGCCCATGACGATAAAAAATAAAGCTAATGTAAACTTTCATTAGTTGGTGCGCTTTTTATTTTTAATGATTCCAAGTTGTACTTTCTAAATACATAAATTAAAATTTTTAAAATGACAAATATGGTTNTTATTGGTTTATACGTTAACTGCGATAATTAATACGATTATTAAAATGTATTATTCTTAATTTGAAAATAACTGTGTTTCACACGGGGCATAGTTTTAGTTAGTATATCGTATCAGATGTCAGAGTTAATTCATAGAAACGTATTATAAGTTCATTATAATACAAGTTATAAATGTTTTCAATTGTTTAGAACTGAATATCTATACTAACTTATAGAAAGCGTCGCGCCACAAGCTCCAATTTAAATTTCATAATTCACAGTGCTGATTTTCTAAAACCATCAAACCAATGCGAAATAAGACCAAAAAACACCGCATAATGTTAACAAAATTTAAAAAATGAGAAGTAAAAACGAACTTGAGACATTAACTAGTTACAATACCTCAATAATGCCCACAATCTTTCAGAAAGTAAGTAACAGGGGACCTTTGAAACATAAGGGATTTTAAAGTGTGTATCATTTTTGCACATCATAACAATTATATGTATGTATCATGCTTTATACAAGTGCCTATATTCCTATATATGCACTATTTATTTATTAATTTAAGTTCTTAGGTGTAATTGCAAAATAAATATTCTTGAACAAGTTTTTATAAGTACGTACGTATAAAAGAATATAAGAATGATACTTGATAGCCTTGACTGAAAAAAAAGCATAATTGTGCGTACTATTCACGTGGATTTAAATATGTGTAGGGATGATACTGCAAGTAATACAATTATTGATAATAATTCATTAAGGAAAGTAACGAAATGTGTATATGTACATTTGTTTTTTTATTATTACGGATCTGTCTCATTGTCTTGCAAAATTGCAATTTATTGGAACTAATGAAACTCTCGATAAATGTCCTCAAAATGAAAGGTCAAGTGCTTGGAGGTAGGATAAAGTTGATTTTTTTCGATAGTTTAATTGGTCGAATAACCTTTGTTACCGATTAAAATGTATAGAAAATCGGAGTTGTCGGAGTGTCCAACATATTCGGAATTTATCGAGTTTAAAGCAAAAGTGAAAGGAAATGGAAAAAAGCTTGCACCGGCAGGCGCTCCTCTCAGACAATTGTGTTTTTATTTTTATATTTCACAAACAATTGCCGTTGCGCATATTTTCTTTATTTTATTTCTGTATGCAGCGGCGGTTCGTTCACGAAATGCACAAAATTCATTTAAATGTACCTATTAACTTTTAAACTACCAATAATTTTACGAGCGCCTTTTTATGTTAGAATTATTTTACATATTTTAGCCAAAATAATGCCGGAGAATACCTTTTTGGCACCGCACTCCAAAACCGTTGGCACCATTACATTCTACGTACTTTTCTACATAATAATCACTTGTCAAAATTTAAAAAACACCTCTCATCTCCGAGAGATTTCACGAGCGCCTTTTTATGTTTTATGATAGGGATGTAGGTCGGTATTTTTCATGAATGTTCTTTTTAATTGTAAATAAGTAAATTAATGACTGAAATAGTGGATTATATATTAAGTAATGTATAATAAAAATTGTTTCTTTTAGTCGTTTATTATTTTTGCGCTGATATCGAAATGCATTTTGTTTTCTCCGTAAAGACAGACAAATAATAATTACAACAAGATCTTGAAATGACCGAAGTCCAGTGAAAATTGAGTAAATATATACCTAAAACAATTTAAATATAATAATATTTTGCTTTGTTAATAACTATTCACGAACTGCCGCTGCAAATAATCATGCAAGAACTAATTAAATAAACAAATGAAAAAGTTCAAACGTTTTCAGTAATTTAATTTGCTAGAAGTACGTAAACAGGTACTTACAAAGTGACCACATACACAAAATATTAGTAAATGTCATTAAAGTGAATTATCATCGTAATTTTTTTGTCGTCAAATGATGTTTACAAAAACAGGAAAGCTAATATGCAGTAAAACAGTTCTAATTAGGTACTATTATCGGATGACCTTCGTTCACGCATGTAACCTTTATTACCTACCCGTCGCAGACGTAATTTTTGTAGGAACATCTTTTTATTAAACAACACTTGATTAGATTTGGAGTTTATTCGTAGAACTTGTACAGGAAAAGTTGTAATTATACGTACAACTAAACAAATTTTGTGTCAAAAAAAGAAGAAAATCGCAATTATCTTTTGTTCTACAACAGTAGTTATTTGTAAAATGGTTGAGACTTTAATATACAATGTCACGAAACGTGAAATTCGTGAATATCCAGCATTTAAGGCCGTATTTTCGTGGAGATATCAATGCTACATCAAGCGACGAACCCGCGCACATTTGTGCTACAGGTTGCCTATTACTACTTCAATCTGCTGCACGATTTTCAGAATTTAAAGCTCAAATAGAGGACGAACTCGGCTTTGGGACATGCGTTTGTCTATTTTTTTTTATTTCTACGAAGAATTAACTCGGAATATTTATTGTTACAACAAGTTTGCGTTCGCAGAAAAAACTGGCCGTCGTCTACGTGGTTTGGCTGTTTTGATATTTTTGTGTATGTAAATGTATTGCTGTTTTAGTAAGTATTAACTATCTCTCTGACATTGACGTCATTTTTATCATCAGGTTTTCCGAGAAGTCGACTGGCTCATAATAAGTACAGCGAAATGACTATCTTGTAGGTAAATACGTCAGTCTCGGTGCGTTTGTTGTAAATTGATTTAAACAGCCTTGGATTTTCAAAATTGCAGTCACGACTACGTCTTCAACATGTCGTAACATGTGTCTGCCGAAAAATACGACAATCATTATCATAATAAACGTTTGTCCGACATGAATCTTTCGTAAATGAACCAGAAATGTAAAATTGCAAAAATTTCTGCGAAAAACATGGAAAACTTGCAGAAGAATCATAATGAGTAAAGGTTTATTTTTAATTAATATCTATAATATCTCACCTTCTTGAGTAGGTACATGAAAAAAAATTACTTCCGAAAAACTATTCTAAGTAAAGTAATAAAATAAACCAAAAATATTACTTTAGGCAAGGCATGTAATAGTAGATCTATATAGTAAATATAAAGATAAGATAGAAAAGACTAGAAGTAGTCGCAGATTGTCGAGGTTCAGAGAGTCAAATAAATCTAGATGGAAAAACGACTCGCTCAATAAAACTGTATGTGCTGGTTATTTTTAATTATTACAGTGGTTTACAACAGTTTGGTTGAATGAAATATTCAATAAAAAGTCTTTAGGAGAAGTGAAAAGTTTTAGTGCGAGATTTTCTGCAGATTTTCCTAAATATTTTAAAACTGGTTTCTCTATTATATCTAATATAAATCCAGCGTTAATCAACCAGATGAAGTCCCTTGCTAGTCATAATTAGCTAAAGGGGCAAAAATGTGTTTCCTGCTCAATAGCCTTCTAAGTATCGGTATTCTTAATGCCAAATCTACATCGACATATCTCTTTTCGTTTATAACTGAAGGCTCATTATTCAACTCATCTTCGATTCCATTTTGATCGCTATCGATAAATTCACTTTCATCTTCGTCTTCATTTTCATCTGCTTGTATGACTTCATCTTCAGCTTCTCCTGAAGCTTCGGATTCCTCAAAGTCCTCCTCTTCCTCTACTGCACTTCCAGACCCTTCAAATAAGTCTTCTTCTTCTTCGACTTCCGATACACCCGATGCTCCTTCTTCTTCCGGTTGGATTACGATATCTCCTGGGTCGTCCCAGGTGTCTCCTGTTTCTTGCGATCCAGATCCTTCCAATTCACCGTCAACAATAACGTCATCACTCCATTCTTCTCCTTCTGGAAAAGCCGCTTCTTCGATTATTTCCATATTGTCCCTTTGCTTTGCTGTTTGTTCTTCAATTTCCTCGAGCTGCTGGAAATCCAAGTTTTCTGGTGCGTCATTTTTAGCTTCCAGACCTGACGAACGAACCGATTCTTTTAAAGTGTTCCGTACATTAGAGGATTCGGGACTTACCAGAAACGAGAAGGATGACCAAAAGTAACACAATTGCTGTTTTTATCATTTTGTCGCACTCCCACGTACAGGTTTATAAGTACAACTATTGACCTTAGCAAAATAACTGTGTTTATATAGGTCAATAAAGTTATTGTCCCGATAAAGGAAATATTATCTTTACTACTGATACGGATTATTTTTTAATGCTTTTTCGTTAGGTATTTAAAAAGTAATTTTTATCACGATAATATATTTTAACTGTTTTCTTCAAAATGTTATAGATAAATCGGCGTTATATAATTTATATACAGTTAAGACTTGTAAGAAATTATTTTGACCATTGTGTTTGGCTACTTAGCTGCAATTTTATCTGATAAGATAAGGAGTCACTTGTTGAAGGTTAGAAGCCTATTAACATTATTGTTAATTTCTGCAGTAGTACAAAAGAATTGTTGATGTATTGGACATCGGATAAAGCTGTGGTGTCACCCCGAAAGAAATGGGGATTAAGGTGGATTAAGATACAATCTTTCATCTTTATTGCCTTAATAAATGATTGAATACAAACGTTTTCAAACGTTTAACAATAAACTTTTTAGATAAGTAGGATCAGCGTTCGACGCTGAAATGTAATAAAAACAATTTTGATTAGTTTGGTGTTATAAAATTTGTGAAAATGTTCTCATTGTCTTTTTCTTTAAAAACAATTTCGTTTGGTTGTCAGGAACGTCAAAGTGTGCCAAAGTCTAGAAGAGTGTGAACAGATAGAAGTATTTAGATTGAAACAGATTGCGTTTCTAAGAAAATTTCCATTGGATTTTGATTTTGTGCAAACACCTTAATGGATTACAATTAACCTTTGAGTTTTCTCATTAGCACGGAGATGAAAGATTAAATACTTATATAAGTAAAATACATCTCTGCAGTTGAATTACTGCTTATTAATCTGTTTATATAAAGATAGAAATAAAAAAAATTGAAATATTTTTACTTATTGATTAAGTATAATTCAGTTTATTTAAGATTTACATCTTTGCGCAAAATATTTTTTATTGACACAAATTTACTTCAAATATACGATTTATTTTTCCAACTCTGCCCGTGTGTTGACGTCCTTGTACCTTCATTACACAAGGATACGAAATTGTTAATTGCGATCAACTCGACATGTTCGAAAACCCGATTTTAAGCTATAATTAATCAATAAACGTTCTCATTTCTTTATTATTATTATTATTATCATTTTTAGCTGTCGACAGTAGGTAGTTGTTACGTAAAAAATCGATTCCTCAGATGTAGTTTGCATTCAGAATTAACGTCATCGAGGAAAAATACAGCAGAACTGGCTCTATTAATCTTAAAAACGAAAAAAAAAACTGGATAAAAATATTAGCGCAACTGCCAAAAATAAAAAACAGGTAAATTGGTCCATCCTTTAATTGAAATTGATCTCTACAATATTTACGGAGGTTTTGAGCAAATTCGTTGTTTTTATGGTTGGCTTGGCCCATTTTACGAATTTTGCTATCGTCTGTGTTTGGGACAACTGTTGCGCCTTTCCTTTAGGATTCTTCAGGTCGCGATATATACTTTAAAATACATATTTTTGGAAAAAAAAAACGTAAAATATCAATTTGCAGAACTCTTATTGTATCTATGCCCTAAAGTTTTCTACCCTTGATTTTCCTCACAAGGACGTGGAGCTTGCACATGTGAAAATTCCATTGTCATCGAGGTGTGTAGGACGACTTACTAGCAATCAGTGTATACATATAGCTTTTGTTTATAGGTGAGAGAGGGGGGGGGGTCATTTGATCAGGTGTGACCACAGGTAACACAGTTCTTCAACTTCTTGTGCTTAGTTTCACTTGAGTCTTCGTTTAGAAGTGAAACTCGTCGTCGGTCTGGACGGTTTTGCGCTAGTTAGTAATACTAATATTATTCATATTACTACTATTGTGAAAAGTCTTTAATGTATGTGCTAGTTACATGTACAGTCGGGTACCGCTAGAATATCGAAGTTTGCAGTGACTCAGTTTACACTTACCTCTTAATAAGGCCTACTATTTTGAAATGTAAGCGATTTTTTTTTTCAACTATTGGTCTCTGTGTGATAATCTACTACAAAAGTTAGAAACAATTTTTAACAATATGTCGATGTTACCTATTTTGTTTCAGAAAAAAAAATTGAAGAGAAGACAATCTCGTTTTGTTTTTCGTACAGAACAGAAGAAAAATCGAATTATTTGTTTTCTGTTTCTCTTTTGTCGTGGATTATTACATGAGTACCTTCGATACAGAGTTCAATATAGTGTTTTTGAGATAATACTGGCTCACCTGGCTTTTTCGGTTGACTGGCACTGAGTACTACGTTATATTTATGAAAGTATATTCGAATAAGTAAGACACCGATACGTGTATTTGTGGATATTAAGGTGAATGTACATATTTAAATTAGTAATACTTGCTTGCGAAATATGTATACAGTACAGGCGAATTGAGAATCATATCCATTACATATGTAATACTTAAAGGGCATCTTCAGCTTTTGGAAAATACGACGTGATACAGGCGGGAAATTCGTACGAATACCTTCATATGTCTTATCATATAAGTAAATAGTAAAGTAGCAAGTAGTCCAGTAAATGCAATTCAAAGTCTTTGTTCAGTTGAGGGTAGTTTTCACAGAAAGAAGTGATATTTTCAGACTAAAGTAGATGTTTAGTGCCTTATCTGTATATCTAAATTACGAGTGAAAACAATCGTGCATTTATCTACGAAGCCATCTTTCTTCATGCATATCATGATGATTACTTATTAAATCGACCAAGTGCTTAATAAAACTTTACGCTTATGGTGTTACAATATAATTGATTTTATGCGAATGCAGTGAATTCATACGACTTTGATTAAAACAGTAATCGTTTTTACTACTGTACGACTCTATAGCCGTGTGTAGATGATTTCTATTATTCGACTGAAAAGCTATTATTTTACTTTTGTAACATATTAATCCAATTTTCTATTTGTCGATTAATTGTATGCATTACGCTTATAAGCGTTATCATGGAAATCGAATTGAAGACAACCGTACCTTTTTGACGCGTTTATCGGTTTTACTTTCCATTGTTTTACCCACACATTCTTATCAATTAAACGGCATTATAATTTCAAGCAAAGGTGCTAAAGTGCTTGCTCGTCATTGAACTGATCGAGAAAATTTCGTAATTATCAAATTTTTTCACTAATTAATGACGGACTAAGTTCTCATTGCTTTCTCGATAGATTTATTTCGGTGTAGTTTTCTTTACTGTTTTGTCGCTTTAGCAAGACGAGAAAGTTCCAGATGAAATTCTTTAATTCATATTTTTTTTTCGTAATACCTACCGCCAAATTTAGTTTTAACTTTCACTTTACAATTAAAACGTCTTAGCTGTGGTACAACTGCATACATATCAAGTAGACAAATTAGGAAAGTTTGATTTAATTTAAATACTTCAACATATCAATACGTATAATATAGGTACCTAGGTGCATACGTGTGAAATTATTTATTTCAATTTATTTGTATTTGTATTATTTGTGTTTCTTCTTCCTAGAGTTTACTTAATTCAATTTAATTGTTGTTATATCAACGGCGATGTTTTCGTCGTTCGAAACTTCGGTATTAAATGAAGAGAAACAAATGATCAAAATCTCTATTAGAAACAGTTGAATTACATCACCAAAAAATGTGGTCAGCTATCTAAAAATTCGCTGCGGTATATAGACCAAGACAGTCAACTTTTATAGAAACGTCTTCTTTGTACCTAATTGTTTCCGTTTGTAATTTTTATAACGATAGTGAAATAGAAAAGTTTTATTGGGTACTTTTTTCAGCAAATGGGCATTAGGGGGGGCTTAGTTACGCGCTAGACGTGTAATAATAAGCTAATAAGTAATAACTAATACTCATTTATCGCAATTGTATTGTTTTTATAACTATAAAACTATGATAACGTTATCGTATAAGTAACTTGATGACCGCAATTATAAAACGCCATTGTTTATAACAATAATAACAATAAATAGGCGAAACTATTAATATTTTACTGATATTCACCTGCTGCTTTTTAGGCATACCTTTTCGTGTCACCTTTTAAGCATCTACGAAATTCGAGAATTCCGCAAAATGGCGCAGATATAAAACAGACCGTTATTTAAACCTGTCTTGAGAGCGGTTTTAATGTTCGTGTAGCTTCCATGAAGGCAATTTGTAATATTTAATTAACATGGGAAGATTACAGTTACCGCTAGTTAGCATAAAATATAATCTAAATAAGTAGAAATATCCAAATAAGTACTCGGTAGGTAGTTACCTACATTAGAACTAAAGAACTTTTAAAATTCCGAGCAATGATTCGGGGTTCGGTTGAATGATCCTGTGACGTGACCTGCAAGGTCATTCAATCCAGATTTAAGATTACTTTTCCAAAATTTAAACAGAAGCGTTATTGTAGACGAGATATTTGTTAATCTCCTTCTTGTTCTAAAGACCAAGTTTTACAATTCATACTTTTTTATAAACAAAATGTTGCGATTTTTTGCTGAGTAAGTAATTCAATGATAAGTGTACTGCATTAAATCCATACGTGCCTGCAGCACATAAACTAATCATTTTAACAGGTTGACCATCGTTATTTGCCATTACACATTTCAAGGTCTAATTTTCATAAATTAGGTACCGACATTTATTTACACATTACTGATCAGACTTTGTACTAATCTTATTTGTGTCAAAAAGAAAAAAAAAACATAAGCGCCTTATCAAAGTGTACCTGTAAGTAAATCTATACCAATGTCTACACCTTCAATAGTAGAAGTTTGGAAACACAAGTCAGATTTTCTATATTGTCAATTGTCCAGTTTTGGGGAAATGCGAAGATTAGCTGAAGATAGGATTAGGATTAGGACTAACGAATCTATGATGTTAATGATGATAATGATACTGATATTGTCAATAACATTACGTTATGGCATACAATATAATAATTCGTCGCGATTGTTTTGTCTGATTTTGATATATCAAGTACTTATTAGAAAAGGATTATTGTACCTACATACAAAAATTTTCTACTGATAGCTGTGCACTTGTTTGGTAATGGTAGTTATAAAGGGATTTAGTATTATAAAAAAATCATTCAAAGTAACTTTCACAACTTTCATGAATGGATTTAGAGTTATTGTCATTAAACAGTACCATTACCATAACAAAACGACAATGCAATTTCTAATAGAAGCACAATTACATAATGTGTATGTTTGTACATTTTTGGTACCTAGTAATAACGAGTTTCCTTATCACCCACTGACTCTAAATTAGCACTAGTTTCCATTACACCAAGATAATGATTTAACTTGATCGTCATTAAACAATAATTTAGATAGATATGGCGTGAATCATGGCTTTCAAAGTTCAAACTGTACAGAGAATGTTCATGTAGATGACAATTTAAAATAAAATGCGATTTTAACATGTACCAAGAAAATAATGTCATTAAGTACAATAACGCATTAAAATTACATCAAAGAAAATTTTATTTTACGATCTAACGTGTACAAATTGCCAGTTTAATTTTAAATTATTGTAGATATTTGCAGGCACAGAAATTGGTTATACAATAGCAACTGTTGTATTGTAGTATTTAATAGTTGTCGAGAGAGAGATATTAAGTAATTGAATTGAATTCTAATTAGGTTTATAAAATTATACGGTGAATTCTAACTTTAGAAACCGAAGCAAAGCGTGACGTGTTAAATAAAGAAGAAGCTGTCGTCTAGGCCAATTTTTTTTCATTTCTGACAACCCCTCCCATTGGCCAATTAATCGATCAATTTGCGCAAGAGAGAGAAAGTATCTTAGTTTAAACAAATGAAGATGTAAGCATGTGTATTATAATATTTGCGAAAGGTAGAATGAATTAATTTTTTGTTACAACTGAAACAGAATGTAGTGCTCAAGTGTGTCGAATCGTAAGAGCCAGGCCAACCAAGACAAAACAAAATAAAACAATTGTTTTTTTCTGTTGTTAATGTATCAACTAAGAAAATGAATTCTCTTGTAGAGAGTCGCCGAAGAAAATTTCGGACAGAGAAAAACGCGGAGTTCTTCAATGTAGTATAGTGTTGTTGGACTATAGAAAACTCGCTGCTCCGGAAAATATGGATCGCGGTGAAAATAAAAGTGTATGAAAAATCGTATCACGTGCAGTGTGTTTTCATTTTCGTTGTTTTTTCTACTCAATTCAAAACGTTTCCTAAACAAAACTTTCGAACATGAAGGGGAAAGAAAAGTTGTGTGCAAAATTGTCCAGTACGTTTTTACGAAAGTGGTGTAAGTATTACATTAATGTTTTAAATAAACAAAAATAATTGTACACAGGGTGGTAGCACATATACCTTAAGAAGCCCTTGAACATTTATAATAAAAGCCTCTATGGCATTTCTGTTTTTTTACAATTTTTAATCGAAAAGTATTTTTTTTTACCCTTTTGTATGCTTCTTTGTCAAATGGCAGATTAGTTTCTAAATAAAATTAAAAAAATATTCATTTAATTTTTTCCCATTATAAACTACCTTAAATTAATGAGGAAAAAAAGGTAGTTTATAGTGGGAGAAAATTAAATGTATTTTCACATTAACATTTGATATTAACCCCTGTTGAATGTCAAAAGGTTTCATATCTATTTATATTTGTATACATAAGATGAATTTTTTAAGTTCGTTAGTTTTTTGTTTCTTCTTATTACAATCGTAGCCAATAATTTAGCTTTCTTTTAACAGTTTTAATAGCGTCGTTTAATAATAACGTTTTGGTTTATGAAATACCTTTGCGACTAGAACAAGTGCTTACACAACAATTTGAGAATTTTCTGCAGTCTGGCATAACAATGTGCGGCAAAGTTTTGTCCATTGTTTGAAACATTCGCAGTGAATACTAATTGTTAATAATTCTATGTATACTAACCTATTGTGAACTCTGCGAGTATTTATAAACAAAAAATTATTTAATTACATTTAAATTTCACTCTGACTGCCTAATCTCGAAGAAAACTATTTTTACGTATGTGATAGACGTGGATGCGTTAAAGGGTAACGTGTATGGAAATTTATTCAAATTATTATCGCTATCAATAAATAGAAAAATTTTCCGTTATTACGTTTTATTTACGTCTGTTTTTGTCTGTTTAAAATTACGTATGCCTTTTGAAAAATTCGCTTCGTTAATATCGGATAAATAATAAAGAAATTGTTGTTTTCCATTTGTTGCTGTGATTCTTCGAGTACCATTTGTTAAGCTTGAGCAACCGGTTTAAATTCTCACATAAGTTAATTTGAATTCTTCGCCATCTTTACAGGAACGTACCAACAATTCCTCTCACAGCAAATGTTTTTATTGCTACATGAATTCGCGTTTACATATGCATAGCTATACTGCAATAACGACTTGAAGTTTTCATCGTATATAAATTTAATTTCTTTCACTGGTTTTTTATGTTTGTTGTTAATTAATAGTCGGGGTGGAGTTGGGGTGACTTCCTTCCTTGCCAGTTAACACTATAATTTTATGTAAAATTCTGTGACTGTAAACAAACTGGTTGCAGATAACATTTGGGTCAATATACTCGGTTATCCTATTCCACAAAGCGTCACTTAAATAATTTATAAAACGACGAATGTCGAACACTGAAAGCATGCATTAATAATTATGATATGATGTATTTCTAACGGGCATGGTAATTAATCAATCTAAATTTGTGTCGTTGTCCTTTCTCTAACTTCTTCATTAAATACCTCCGGGTAATTTCAAATCAAGAAATAAAATAGAGGAAAATTAGAAAAAAAAAGAAAAACAAAATATTTCACCGTACTGCTATTACTAATGGTAACTCATTAACTGCCTTTGTAGAAAAATATTTTGACTCGTGCTTTGGAAACAAAAAGCTGTTCCGACCTGTCATTATATTAACATTAACCAGGTATCTAATTGTAGAAATCTAGCGTTTAATTCATTTTTATAGAGAAAGTACGTAAAAAGGCAGTTGAAAATGACAGTGAACAAAAAGGGGTAAAAAAACCATTGTGTTTCCTAATATAACGGAAACAATGCTGTAGTTACAAAAAGGTCGTTTGTTATCATCGGTATTGCTCCAAAAACCATCTAATTGTAGCACAAAATATAAACACATGTGACAATAAAGTTAAATAATATCTCCTTTGGATAAAAAGGTGTAGCCTTTGTGCTCGGATGGTTTGCAATAAGCAATAAACGACTTCCCACAATTTTCTTTTCAAAATGCGATTGCACAAACTAATTAACACATAACGCAAATACCTACGCCATGCATCGTGTTATAAAATTCAAACGAATCAATGAACAACCGTTGGCAATGATCCCATCTAATGTAAAAATCAATTTCGCTATTAGGAACTGTGACAGGAGATGTCAGGTTATTGATCAGAAAGGTTGATGACAACAAAAACAGAGGCAGAGGTCAAGACCCTTAAACAAATGAAAATCGCATCACGTCCTACGTTATTCAGGGTGATTCAGGACGAAAAAATATTATAAACAATCGCCATAAACGTGGCTCATGCATGATTCATGAAATGCAACGTGGATACAAACACATGACAATCTAACCATCCTTGACGTATAAATAAACTTGCGAATCGATTTTAATTACTCAATTTAATATATAAAAACAAAAAGTTATTAGGACAGTAATCGCCTGCCATGAATATGCGAAAAACGTATTACAATCGCAACTTAGTGTGAACACTCTGTAACATTGATAAAAGAAGGTTAATAATAACATCTTCGCCATTAGTTAGTTACCTTCCGATTAATGAAGAACCTTGTGGCAGAGAAAAAAACAATAATATAATAAAGTGAAAGAAAAAACAAGAAGAACCACGCACGGAAATATTGTAATATTGTAATAAACCTTCACAAGTAACATATGTATGTAGAAATTTATTCAACTACTACCTAGGGTACAAGTACAAGTTGACAGAAGTGTCGATTGCGAAATAATATAATGTAATATTAAACATTATACCTGTTTCGTGTTTATCTGCGATCATACCGAGTCGAATTTCTTGTCTTTGTAACCTAATAATAAGCAAAACATACAGTAACACTAACTGCTAGTTTGATACAGACATAGTGACAATACTTATGTTTTTAATGTTAAGAAAATAATAATAACATACGAAGATATACACAGGACTTAACGTGTAACAGGAGGTTCTGGCGGTACCTACATTCAGGATTTAATTGCAGTTTTGTTCATCTAGATATCGTTAATTTTTTTACATTTACTACACACATTCGAGGTGTTCAATGGGAACCAAATATCATTCTATGTACTTAAATACCTACGATTGTAAATGACTATCTATCACAAAAGTAAAATTTCTGTTAAATTCTTTATCGTCATTCTCTTGTTTATCGTGACCGTACTGACGCTTAAACATAAGAATTTGCTGTTGTATAGAAGTGTCTTTCCTTTTTGATTTTTTCTTTTTAATTCTAATGCTACGACCTCGTTAATAACAACTTACGAACGTTGTTTAGGCACCTGACTTTCAAAAATGTCTATTCAATTACTATCAACATTACTTACGTACCCACTTATTTCAATGTCAGTCCAAACTAAATTACGCGTGGCGTACCAATGCGCTTAAAAATAAAAATACCTGCACAATACGATTAGATAAAATTTTAAACATTCTATAAACTGATAGTCGTTTAAGCTACGGTCGAAAACATTTACGAGATGGGGTAAATTCTATTTGATTACAACTGGACTAATGTTACAGCCTTGCCAAAAAGGAGAGGCGCGGATGATGGCGATAATTTTAGAGCAATCAGCTTGACTTCTTGTGCATCAAATATTTTAACTGGAAACGTACAAAGAAGGGTGGAAGAAATTTTAGGGGATGATCAATTCCGGTTTAGAAAAAACAGGGACAAAAAAGGATTTAAGGATATTAATTGAGAAAAATCAAAGAGCGTAATATGTATAGGATTAGTAGATTTGGAAAAACTTTTAACAGTGTTAAGTGGAAGAAGATGTTTTACAAATACTTACAGACGCAGAGGTGAGATTTGGGGATAGGAGAGTAACATATAGAGGTAGGGCAGCTTTTGAGGCATAAGGAGCTAGATAGAGACCTATTAGAAGCAGAAACAGGAGTTACAAGAAGTAGCTATAGATTAGATTAGTTAAAGAAGTAGGCTGTATGAGATTGACTCAAGATAGGAAGAGATAAAGATTGAAGTGATGATGATGATACTGTTGAATACATGATATTAAGCACTGCTACGGGCTAAGGACATTAGTATGTCCTAATTTTGGAGTATTAAATAGGTACTGTTATAATTGGACTGAAATCTATACTATCTACTGAAAATGTTTTTAATTATTTTTTGGTAAACACATGAGTTATGAAGCGTTTGGTGTGCATTTCTTGTGACATAATTGTTGGGTAAGAAAACAATTACTAGGTAGTTTAGAACTGAGCTGAAATAGGAAAATTTCTACGCACAATTTTTGATATTATGTAATGTGTATCTATACCTCAAACATAATTGGTCGTAACATTTGTTATTTCCTAAAAGCTCAATTTGTAGACACACTACAGAAAAAACAAACACATTGTTAGTTGTCTAGTTGATGCAGAACCGCTTTTGTTTCAAACTGTTTGCTTCTGTTTAAATAGCTATAAGTAATCGTTTAGCTTTTGTTTAAAATCGTGGTCGCACTTTTCAGTTTCGATAGATTTTAGCAAATAGAGCGTGGCAGTTTTAATAGGTACTGTAGCTGTTTAATTTCGGAATTTTGATGGTTTCTCTTGCTTTTGAAGGAAATATAACAGAAAATCTGCGCAATACCTACAGCACGTCCAAAAATCGTAAAAAATATTACACTTTTTTCGTTGTATTATTATTAATATTTCTAAATTTAATTCCGCACCTATCTGTCAAAGTTAATGAACGTGCAATTGTTTTTATAGACGATTTATCAACGGGGTCGAACACAGTCCGTTGTGACACAACCAATTCTGAATTTAAATTATTTCAAAACAAAATTTCGCAATTTTATTGCTATTTTAATAAAACAATCCGTTCTTGTTAAAAATTATATGTATACTGCAAATATAATATCTACTTTTTAAAGGATATCTAGGATTATTAAAAGCAGTTACATAAAAATTGAGTTTAAATCTATTTCAACTAAAAGTTTCCTTAATGGACACTGTCCTTTAGCTGCCCAAGAAGTACAATACTTAATTATAAATTATAATCATTTGCTAATACTGTAATTAATAATGAATAGAACGAAAAAGAAAACTTTCCATTTCGAAATTATTTTTAATTACTTTTGTTGCCGAGTTTACATACCTACCATTTCTTTAGGGCAAATTATGACAGATGTACAAATATTCATGCAGAAAGTATGTCAAGAATTCATACGTTTTTAATTTATTTGATTAAGACGCTAGTGTTTTAACCTTAAGATTTATCTTACATCACATCATACGTACTGACCCAAGTGACCCTAAAGATTGTTTTTACGCAACTTGACACTCAGGAATATATTATTCGGCGCTATTTTTTATAATCAGATACAAATCTCAAACGTATTTTTTAAACGAATAAAATATGCCCCATATATATCTTCCGTTGTCTCAGAGTTGGCTTATGTAACAATTGCGTAAAATGCTACATTATAGCATAACACTGTGTAGTGTCTGTTGCAATTTTATGCTTTATTTGGTTTAACTACGTTACTTTATATCATATTATATTTGCAAGCCTAGATTTCCATTAATTTTCCTCTTTGTATTTTCTCTCTGCGTGATGGTTGAAACGTTTATTGGATTTACGTTTTGCATAAGCCTGCAATATAACAAACAAATTTTATTTATTTGTGTCAACTTCTGTGTGTATTATTAGCAATATTGTTTTATGTGAAAGTAACACAATCGTCGTATTCGTTTCTTCCTGAACTGATGCTGAATGCACATTATATAAGATTATTATTTCTCGTTCGCTAGGTATAGGTATTTCAAAAACAAGAAAAAAGTAACAAAATTTAGAAATTAAAAAGTATAATGAGTACGTTTTTTATGATTATTTTGGATGATAAACATATTTCCTTTCACCAGTAAATTATTCAAAAGCAGAAAGAAAAAAATTAAATGTTTCTGGCTAATGTCCTTAGCAAGGCGCGTGGTTTTATTTATAATAATCATAAATTATGATGTCGTCTTTCTTTTTTCTATGAATGGAACCATTAAGAATAAAAAAAAAACAATATAAATGTCGTCGATCGAAATCCTTACGTGAAATTTCAAACGTACATTATTTTAATATATGCTCTACACGCGCGAAACACCAGGATGCATAGTCAATTGCGGTCATTTAAATTTATAGATCGATATTATTGATCATTTGGCACACGAAAACTTAAATCATTCTGAAACCATTGTACAAAGAACAATACTAATAATAAATTGAAACATGCTAATATTCTGTTGTTGTTTATCTGTTCCTATAGCTGTCCCTAATATTAATCGTGCGTTTTTATTTTTGTTTAATTCTACATCCTTACATTGAATAGCTTTCTACATTTAATATTGTCAAAAGCTTTCTTTTCGTAATTAAAATATCGAAGCTGTAAATGTTAGAAGTAACTCGACCCTATTTCGCAATTTCAATCTTCAAAGTTTATTTAGCTCAGAAGTAAAGCTTTACGCCATCTTGCGCCGAAAAAGCTCAATAATAAAGCTCTAAATTGACATCCCGCGCCATCTAACAAGAGAACATTGCTAGCTGCTATTAAAAATTGCTTTATTATTTAATTAAATTAATTGGAATGCTGTCTATTGTTGCATTCGTCATTTAAATAAGGATTGTTTAAAAAAAGGAAAGATTAAGGAGCATTGTGGTGGCCATTTAAAACGTTATTTATGCATATTGGATAATCCTAATAAGTCATTTCCATTTCCAATTTCCTTTAAGAAAACAATGTACGGATCAATAGGCAACAAAAACAACAAATTAATACGGATAAGTAGGCAACAAAAAAAAAACCATTTGAACAAATTAATGGCCAAATAAGGACCTATAGGTGCACTATATCATTACAGACAACAACTGATTTGTAAAATTGGTTTATTGTTTATTTGCTTTTGTTTTTCAATTGTTGTTTTTCTTTTGTTCCAGGGTTTGTTGTAGCAGCGTCGGTGCTGTTTGTACTATTAGGGATAATAGTAGCCGTATTTTTTATGACCTGGGTCAAATTAGTTATAAATCACGTAAGTATCGGAAAATACCTTGACGATAACAAATAAAAAAACAGTAAATTATTTTTTATTAGATACTTCGTACTTATGCATAACTGAAGAAAAAGGAAAATTTAATATTGTAATTTTTAATGAACATGACTTTGCCTTGGGATATACGCCAGTACACACATTGTACTTGTATACAATTCACCCTGAAGAAGAGCGGAGGCCTCGCAAAGATACAAAACGTGTATCATTAATTACTGAGAATCTTGCTTGTTTGTTCGGTTGTTTAACGAATAATTACCAATTACAATTTTGTTTGTTGTAATTGCCGAGATCAAAAACAGAGTTTGATTTTTGCGTCGATTGTAAATTTCGTTTTTTTTTTAATTATTAATAATTAATGGTTTGCAAACAATGTGAACACATCTTGTTGACCTTACTCTTTAATATCAAACGAAGCAAGTTTTAAATTCGAAATGTTTTGATTACCTTTTAATTTTTTTTTTTTTAAATTACTCGAGGCTTTTCTTCTGTAGTAATTTTAAAGTTCCATGAATTGTTTTTATTGGAAAAGAGAAATTAAGTGTAATAATAGTATTATAAATGATTATATTAAATGTAATATAACATAACAAAATCCTGGACGTCGTCAATTTGCATAATAAAGAAAAAAAAATACATATAAAGTTCTGATTCTTTATTGAGAGGTCAAGTCGAAAACAATCTATCTCACGTTGTTGTTTACGCATTTAGAATATCATCCATAAGGTTAAATGTCCATTAAAATGCTCTTTTGAAGCTATTAAATTGACATTTAGTGTTTTGTTAATCAAGGATATTGTTAATTAACGGAGAAATACCTTACCAAAACATGTTTTACAAATACAAATAATTTTAAACAAACTTGAAAATGGCCCCAAGTCAATTTAAGAATCCTTAACGTTAATGGCTGATATTAATTCTTTTTAAAACATTTTTAATTAGCTAGCCACCTCAAAATAGAAATAATTAATTACATTAGAGGATGTGGTAAAAATTTTACGTTTCTTCATGTGTAATCTTGCGATATGCTATGCGTATTCGTAGCTACGTGCTATGACTAAAAAGAAAGTTATCAATACATTATTGTTACGATTCAAAGCATTTTCTGTCTATTATATACTTATAAACATATAATTTTCGGTTCCACACTGTTAACAATTTAAATAAGGCGTAGGGAAGTAGCTGTTTATAGTGAGTAGTTCTTTTGATTACTAGGATTATCAACTTATACCATCCATGGTGATGATACAAATCTTTGATACGCATTAGAAACATTTGAATTTAAAAGTTACCCAAGAAGAAATTCCAGCTCAGATGTATATTACACAGGGTGCTGAACATTTAAGACTTGAATTATAGAAGTAATAGATTTTTTTTTAATTTATTTATGATATGTTTTTGTTAAGCAAATATTTACATTATTTATTAGCACCTTAGAAAAAATTAAACCTTTTTCTTAATGAGCCGGTTTGCCTTGGAAATGCTAGGACTTATGTCGAAGAAATGCCTGACCAAATAAAACATCCACTAATTATGTATGCATTTACATATACATAATTTTTCTTATAAATACGTGCTAACAAATCGCGGAAATTGATTTGATTATTTATGTTCCCAAAGTGAGATTTCAATTAATTAACTATAATACAATATTAAATTGACCTTTAGAAACCAAAATGTTGACCTTTTCGTATCCGTGTGCAAGTTTTAACTGGGTACATAAATTTCTTTTTTTTTTTAGGAAATACTTTTAAGAAATGGGTCGCAAGCTTTCGGGTGGTGGGCTAAACCTCCAGTAGTGCCAGTAATTAGGATATATATTTATAATGTAACAAATGCTGATGAATTTTTAAACAATGGTACCAAACCAATTTTGGACGAAATCGGCCCCTACACATACGTGTAAGTATAATTGTTTTTATTTTCCTGGAATGCGTGAATAATCCAACAAAAATGCACACGTCATTTAAGTAATGAGGCGTACCTCAGGGCAATGCAATGGGACCCTTTGTATGTACGCATTATTGCATGGTTTATTTGAATTTTACGCGGTGTACTTTAAAATACATAATTAGTCACTTCAATTAGAAATATAGGTAACGTAATACATATCTAATGAAGACTGACCCTAATGTAATAATGCCTTCTTTGGTACCTAATTCAAAACTGCATTTTTGTTTTTCTCTCTTTCTCTTGTTTTTGTTTCTCGCCTTTGTTTTTGTTTATTGTAACTTTATTTTGTTTTTATTTTTGTCTTAACTTCATTTATTTTTGTAATTTTTCTCTGTACTTTCATCTGTTTTCCGATGCTTTTTTTACTTTTCCCTTTGATAAACTTACAATTTACATATCGCCAAGCTCTCGATGGTTAATTTAATAGCCCAAATTATCTGCAATTGTATACATGTGTACATTGAGGTATTATGTAATTGAGGAAAGTCTCTTAGAGTTCCTTATGAATGTAAAGAGAAAGCAGTTTGTGTGTCAGTCAGGAAATGCGGTAGGTAGACATATATGAGTTTATGTGTGTACAAGCTCAGAAATAGCGAATTCGATTATGTTATTATTTTTAATATCATGCAGTATATAGTGAATATACTTATACACACAACGTTTTACTTGGCCTAAAAACGGCACCACGTTACGTAACACGTACCGTTTCAAATTTCTCGATTTATTGTAGCTATAATAATAATAATTGTTAGCGTTTTCGATTGGAAATTCATTTATATAATGAAAAATGGAGTTAATTTTGCTGGAAGATGGCAAAAAAGGATAAAATTTTACAAAAGCGCTTCTACCGTATAGTCCTGACATAATATGTAGGCACATGTATGGAATTGCAAGAGTTTTTTCACTTTGTTTTTCACTTAAGAATCTATGTGTTATTATTAATTGCCTTAATTTTATTTTAGTTGGTATATGTCTTAATAATATTATTTTAATATTCTGTAATAAGCTCAATAATTAACTTCGTACAAATTAATTTTTCAAGGTAAATATTTCGGACACATTTAAGTGTTATGTAATAAACGCCATTACACACATGGCGCAGTTATATTATTTATTGGAGGGAATTCTGAGCAAAAAATAATTTTTATTACTGACTTTTATGGTCGTAAATGGTTTTCTTTCTGCTTATTTCTTAAAAATTCAAAGTAATTAACGATAATAATTTCAAAACTTTTGCTAGTTGTCACTAATGGTGACCATAAAACATCTTGTTGTAACCGTTTCCAAAATAGAAAAAAAAAAATGAAATATATAGTAGTTGACTTTTGATCTTAACTGAAGAAATTCATGTATAATATTAGTCGAAACGAGAACGTGTAATTTTATCTAAATGTTAAATACCCTGAAGATGATTGTACGTAATTTCCCTTTACTATAATGTCTCTCTCTAATTAATAATAGATTATGTAAAAACTACGGTATATAATTACATGTGTTATGCACTTTCAAGAATTAATTAAGAATACAATAATATACGTATGTACAACAATGTGTTGTTATCATTGGGCTAATTTACAATTAAGTATTAAACGTAAAGATAAATAATAATTGGTTTGTGTGTAGAAATCGAAAGAAATAATAATTATAATTATGATTACGTAACAGGTATAATACAAAGTTATATCTACCAAGTGGTTTTTAGATAACCAGTAAAATTAAGATCCAAATTTTATTTGTTCGAAATTTCTACTCTAAACGAAATTCTCATTGACGATATGGCTCAATCTGATTAGAAAGTCGAGTTACATCTGCTTTACGAATAAATACTATAAGTACAACACTTGAAATTCATGTAGTGAAAGCTAGTTTAGAGTGTATCGAAGTGGGCTGAAATTCCTAACTACCTATAAGTATAAAATTAGTCTGCTAGCCACAAATTTACGTATACTAGCTTTTTAAATCATGTCTAAAAGTTTTACACTAGTATAAGAATGAGGTAAAGTTTGTTGTTTTGAGAAAATTTTTGGAAAATGGAAATGGAATTTTCAAAATTTTACTTTTAGAAAATCTATAGGTTGACGAAAGTCTTAAGTTAGGTTGTAATGATAATAAAGGAAGGAAACATTAAATATTTTATAAATAATAGCGATTAAGTAATAATTGTGTACCAATTAAAAATTTATGTTGGACGCATCAGTAAACAGCTTGTTGGATTGTATTATGACAAAAGGTAGAGAAGCTGTTTTTCTTTTTAGTTTGCACAATGCGTAATGTTAAAGTACAAACATAAGAAGCACAAGGACTATTGCACTTGATGATAAAATTGTGAGAACGTACGCTGAATAACATTAACTTCTAATGGGAAAAATCACTTTGTTTTGAGAACATTTCACAAACCTTTGTACACTTGCTTTTTAGATGTGTGTGTGTGTGTGTTCTCAAGACAAACGATTAGAATTCAAAGAAAGGAAAGGTTTTGCGAAAGATTGCGAGACAACACGATTATTCTGAATTGACAAACGATATTTTCAAAATTTCAGAGAGACATGGGAAAGGAGAAACTTGAAATTCAACGACAACGGCACGGTGTCATTCAACATGGAAAAAATTTACGTTTTCGACGAATCCCAATCGGTTGGGTCAGACGAGGACGTGGTGGTTGTCCCAAACGTCCCAATGTTGGTACGTCAAACGTCAAAAAATAATGTAACATAAGTACTGACAGACATTTTTGCCTATTCTTTCTAGAGTGCTACATCACAATCAAAACATGCGGCTCGCTTTTTACGTCTGGCCATGGCTAGTATAATGGACATACTAAAACTAAAACCATTCGTCGAAGTTTCTGTCGGCCAACTGCTCTGGGGGTACGAAGATCCACTTTTGAAACTTGCCAAAGACGTTGTACCGAAAGAACAAAAGCTACCCTACGAAGAGTTCGGGTTAATGTACAATGTACGTAGAAATTTAGTGGTTTTATTCGTCACAGGCTGGACAGGAGAAACTCTTTCCCATCCTGGGTCATTTATTTTCTTAAATCAATAAAAAATTTGGTTTCAGAAAAATGGTACTTCCCCTGACAGGGTGACCGTCTTCACTGGGGCAAACGATATAACAAAGTATGGCCTCATAGACAAATACAATGGGAAGTCTCATCTGCCGCATTGGCTAAGTGACAAATGTAACACGCTGTTGGGATCGGACGGTTCTATTTTTCCCCCGTCATTAATATTTCTAAATTTAATTCCGCACCTATCTGTCAAAGTTAATGAACGTGCAATTGTTTTTATAGACGATTTATCAACGGGGTCGAACACAGTCCGTTGTGACACAACCAATTCTGAATTTAAATTATTTCAAAACAAAATTTCGCAATTTTATTGCTATTTTAATAAAACAATCCGTTCTTGTTAAAAATTATATGTATACTGCAAATATAATATCTACTTTTTAAAGGATATCTAGGATTATTAAAAGCAGTTACATAAAAATTGAGTTTAAATCTATTTCAACTAAAAGTTTCCTTAATGGACACTGTCCTTTAGCTGCCCAAGAAGTACAATACTTAATTATAAATTATAATCATTTGCTAATACTGTAATTAATAATGAATAGAACGAAAAAGAAAACTTTCCATTTCGAAATTATTTTTAATTACTTTTGTTGCCGAGTTTACATACCTACCATTTCTTTAGGGCAAATTATGACAGATGTACAAATATTCATGCAGAAAGTATGTCAAGAATTCATACGTTTTTAATTTATTTGATTAAGACGCTAGTGTTTTAACCTTAAGATTTATCTTACATCACATCATACGTACTGACCCAAGTGACCCTAAAGATTGTTTTTACGCAACTTGACACTCAGGAATATATTATTCGGCGCTATTTTTTATAATCAGATACAAATCTCAAACGTATTTTTTAAACGAATAAAATATGCCCCATATATATCTTCCGTTGTCTCAGAGTTGGCTTATGTAACAATTGCGTAAAATGCTACATTATAGCATAACACTGTGTAGTGTCTGTTGCAATTTTATGCTTTATTTGGTTTAACTACGTTACTTTATATCATATTATATTTGCAAGCCTAGATTTCCATTAATTTTCCTCTTTGTATTTTCTCTCTGCGTGATGGTTGAAACGTTTATTGGATTTACGTTTTGCATAAGCCTGCAATATAACAAACAAATTTTATTTATTTGTGTCAACTTCTGTGTGTATTATTAGCAATATTGTTTTATGTGAAAGTAACACAATCGTCGTATTCGTTTCTTCCTGAACTGATGCTGAATGCACATTATATAAGATTATTATTTCTCGTTCGCTAGGTATAGGTATTTCAAAAACAAGAAAAAAGTAACAAAATTTAGAAATTAAAAAGTATAATGAGTACGTTTTTTATGATTATTTTGGATGATAAACATATTTCCTTTCACCAGTAAATTATTCAAAAGCAGAAAGAAAAAAATTAAATGTTTCTGGCTAATGTCCTTAGCAAGGCGCGTGGTTTTATTTATAATAATCATAAATTATGATGTCGTCTTTCTTTTTTCTATGAATGGAACCATTAAGAATAAAAAAAAAACAATATAAATGTCGTCGATCGAAATCCTTACGTGAAATTTCAAACGTACATTATTTTAATATATGCTCTACACGCGCGAAACACCAGGATGCATAGTCAATTGCGGTCATTTAAATTTATAGATCGATATTATTGATCATTTGGCACACGAAAACTTAAATCATTCTGAAACCATTGTACAAAGAACAATACTAATAATAAATTGAAACATGCTAATATTCTGTTGTTGTTTATCTGTTCCTATAGCTGTCCCTAATATTAATCGTGCGTTTTTATTTTTGTTTAATTCTACATCCTTACATTGAATAGCTTTCTACATTTAATATTGTCAAAAGCTTTCTTTTCGTAATTAAAATATCGAAGCTGTAAATGTTAGAAGTAACTCGACCCTATTTCGCAATTTCAATCTTCAAAGTTTATTTAGCTCAGAAGTAAAGCTTTACGCCATCTTGCGCCGAAAAAGCTCAATAATAAAGCTCTAAATTGACATCCCGCGCCATCTAACAAGAGAACATTGCTAGCTGCTATTAAAAATTGCTTTATTATTTAATTAAATTAATTGGAATGCTGTCTATTGTTGCATTCGTCATTTAAATAAGGATTGTTTAAAAAAAGGAAAGATTAAGGAGCATTGTGGTGGCCATTTAAAACGTTATTTATGCATATTGGATAATCCTAATAAGTCATTTCCATTTCCAATTTCCTTTAAGAAAACAATGTACGGATCAATAGGCAACAAAAACAACAAATTAATACGGATAAGTAGGCAACAAAAAAAAAACCATTTGAACAAATTAATGGCCAAATAAGGACCTATAGGTGCACTATATCATTACAGACAACAACTGATTTGTAAAATTGGTTTATTGTTTATTTGCTTTTGTTTTTCAATTGTTGTTTTTCTTTTGTTCCAGGGTTTGTTGTAGCAGCGTCGGTGCTGTTTGTACTATTAGGGATAATAGTAGCCGTATTTTTTATGACCTGGGTCAAATTAGTTATAAATCACGTAAGTATCGGAAAATACCTTGACGATAACAAATAAAAAAACAGTAAATTATTTTTTATTAGATACTTCGTACTTATGCATAACTGAAGAAAAAGGAAAATTTAATATTGTAATTTTTAATGAACATGACTTTGCCTTGGGATATACGCCAGTACACACATTGTACTTGTATACAATTCACCCTGAAGAAGAGCGGAGGCCTCGCAAAGATACAAAACGTGTATCATTAATTACTGAGAATCTTGCTTGTTTGTTCGGTTGTTTAACGAATAATTACCAATTACAATTTTGTTTGTTGTAATTGCCGAGATCAAAAACAGAGTTTGATTTTTGCGTCGATTGTAAATTTCGTTTTTTTTTTAATTATTAATAATTAATGGTTTGCAAACAATGTGAACACATCTTGTTGACCTTACTCTTTAATATCAAACGAAGCAAGTTTTAAATTCGAAATGTTTTGATTACCTTTTAATTTTTTTTTTTT